CGCTGTAGGGGGATCCAATCCTCTCCTCCCCTCTGCTCACTTCACCACCTGCTGGACACAAGGGATTATAAGGTCAGGGAAACTCCCCATTGATTATATATATATATATATATATATATATATATATATATATATATATATATATATATATATATATATATATATATATATATATATAATATATATATATATATATATTTGATTTATTGTTTTTTTCTATTTTATTTAAATAAAACTAATTGAAAGGACAGATCTGCATATGCAAATTTTAATGGCGTTTGTGAATAATTAATGAGCATCATACCTGATGTCACCTGACTCTCCTGTCACTGTCAGTCAGTCAGTCAAGGTGACAGAGCCGTCAGTAACTGACTGACAGGCTAATGGCTAGCTAAGGAGACGCATCAGAGGTCAGGTAAAGAGAGAGAGAGAGAGAGAGAGAGAGAGAGAGAGAGAGAGAGAGAGAGAGAGAGAGAGAGAGAGAGAGAGAGAGAGAGAGAGAGTAATGTCAGCTCAACATACTGTCAGAATAACTGTCTGTGTCATCCGTCTCTGTGGTGGTCAGTCACTGTATCTTAAGTCAATCTAGAAACCTTCCGGTCAACCTAGAAACCTTCCGGTCAACCTAGAAACCTTCTAGTCAACCTAGAAACCTTCCAGTCAACCTAGAAATCTTCCTGTCAACCTAGAAAGCTTTCAGGAAACCTAGAAACCTTCCACTCATCCTAGAAACCTTTCAGTCAACCTAGAAACCTTCCGGCCAACCTAGAAACCTTCCAGTCAACCTAGAAACCTTCCAATCAACATAGAAACCTTCCAGTCAACAAAGAAACCTTCCAGGCAACCTAGAAACCCTCCAGTCAACCTAGAAACCTTCCAGTCAACCTAAAAACCTTCCAGTCAACCTAAAAACCTTCCAGTCAACCTAGAAACCTTCCAGTCAACCTAGAAACCTTCCAGTAAACCTAGAAACCTTTCAGTCAACCCAGAAACCTTCCGGTCATCCTAGAAACCTTCCAGTCAACCTAGAAACCTTCCAGTCAACCTAGAAACCTTCCAGTCAACCTAGAAACCTTCCAGTGAACCTAGAAACCTTTCAGTCAACCCAGAAACCTTCCGGTCATCCTAGAAACCTTCCAGTCAACCTAGAAACCTTCCAGTCAACCTAGAAACCTTCCTGTCAACCTAAAAACCTTCCATTCAGCCTAGAAACCTTCCGATCAATCTAGAAAGATTCCAGTCAACATAGAAATCTTCCTGTCAACCTAGAAACCTTCCAGTCAACCTAGAAACCTTCCAGTCAACCTAGAAACCTTCCAGTCAACCTAGAAATCTTTCAGTCAACCTAGAAACCTTTCAGTCATCCTAGAAACCTTCCAGTCAACCAAGAAACCTTCCGGTCAACCTAAAAACTTTCCAGTCAACCTAGAAACCTTCCAGTCAACCTAGAAACCTTTCAGCCAACCTAGAAACCTTCCAGTCAACCTAGAAACCTTCCAGTCAACCTAAAAACCTTCCAGTCAACCTAGAAACCTTCCAGTCAACCTAGAAACCTTTCAGTCAACCTAGAAACCTTTCAGTCATTCTAGAAACCTTCCAGTCAACCAAGAAACCTTTCAGTCAACCTAGAAACCTTCCTGTCAACCTAGAAACCTTCCAGTCAACCTAAAAACTTTCCAGTCAACCTAGAAACCTTCCAGTCAACCTAGAAACCTTCCATTCAACCTAGAAGCCTTCCTGTCAATCTAGAAACCTTCCAGTCAGTCTAGAAACCTTCCGAGCAATCTAAAAAGCTTCTAGTCAACCTAGAAACCTTCCTGTCAACCTAGAAACCTTCCGGTCAACCTAAAAACCTTCCGGTCAACCTAGAAATCCTACAGTCAACCTAGAAATATCCAGCAAAACCCGACTGTGTCCCCCGTCTCCCTCCGTCTCACAAACAGGTTAATCCGGCTTGACTTGGGTTAACGCGCTTAATCTGATCGGCTGGGAAATCCCCTGAGGTTGAGGTAACACTGAAGCCGACACTAGGCCTGGTTGACCAGATTAATGTAAACAATAGTGGTGGTTGATGTTGGTTGTTGGTGGTTGTTGGTGGCTGGTGGTGGTTGTTGGTGGCTGGTGGTGGTTGTTGGTGGCTGGTGGTGGTTGTTGGTGGCTGGTGGTGGTTGTTGGTGGCTGGTGGTGGTTGTTGGTGGCTGGTGATGGTTGTTGGTGGCTGGTGATGGTTGTTGGTGGCTGGTGATGGTTGTTGGTGGCTGGTGATGGTTGTTGGTGGCTGGTGGTGGTTGTTGTGGCTGGTGATGGTTGCTGGTGGCTGGTGATGGTTGTTGGTGGCTGGTGATGGTTGTTGGTGGCTGGTGATGGTTGTTGGTGGCTGGTGATGGTTGTTGGTGGCTGGTGGTGGTTGTTGGTGGCTGGTGGTGGTTGTTGGTGGTCTGATGGTGGTTGTTGGTGGTTGATACGATCAATGGAAGGCGCTTCCTGTGGTTGCATTTCTTGCACCTCCTCCTCTGTGCAACATTGGAAGCTCCTGATATGTTGATTACAACACGAAAGGCCTAGAGCTATCATTCAACTTTCCCCTTGGTTATTTTGCATGTATTACTATGTATGATAGTTCGTGTAAGTGTATTTCTGTATACCTAAACAACTTACACCTATTGGTATAACTTCACGAAATATGCTAGTCGTGATGCGCACTCTCATACCCTGCCCCCTCACGTTATGCCTTTAATATCCTTTGATGAGTTCCCAGAGTTTTTTTACTCCCAGAGCCCGGCCTTGGGCCAGGTTAGTCTGGTGCTTGCCTGGTCAACCAGGCTGTTGCTGCTGGTGGCAACATATCCATCTGACACATGTATCATATTCTCTAGCGTTATTTACCATAAAGAGGATGAGAGCCTTATGCTTCTCTACACTAAATTGCTTCTACCACTTCTCTACACTGAAAAAAAGTCACTACTCGGATAAAATACACTGAAAGATATTAAGTGTATATACACTGCACGATATACATCACTCAGTGTATATACACTGCACGATATACATCACTCAGTGTATATACACTGCACGATATACATCACTCAGTGTATATACACTGCACGATATACATCACTCAGTGTATATACACTGCACGATATACATCACTCAGTGTATATACACTGCACGATATACATCACTCAGTGTATATACACTGCACGATATACATCACTCTGTGTATATACACTGCACGATATACATCACTCTGTGTATATACACTGCACGATATACATCACTCAGTGTATATACACTGCACGATATACATCACTCAGTGTATATACACTGCACGATATACATCACTCAGTGTATATACACTGCACGATATACATCACTCAGTGTATATACACTGCACGATATACATCACTCAGTGTATATACACTGCACGATATACATCACTCAGTGTATATACACTGCACGATATACATCACTCAGTGTATATACACTGCACGATATACATCACTCAGTGTATATACACTGCACGATATACATCACGCAGTGTATATACACTGCACGATATACATCACTCAGTGTATATACACTGCACGATATACATCACGCAGTGTATATACACTGCACGATATACATCACTCAGTGTATATACACTGCACGATATACATCACGCAGTGTATATACACTGCACGATATACATCACGCAGTGTATATACACTGCACGATATACATCACTCAGTGTATATACACTGCACGATATACATCACGCAGTGTATATACACTGCACGATATACATCACGCAGTGTATATACACTGCACGATATACATCACTCAGTGTATATACACTGCACGATATACATCACGCAGTGTATATACACTGCACGATATACATCACGCAGTGTATATACACTGCACGATATACATCACTCAGTGTATATACACTGCACGATATACATCACGCAGTGTATATACACTGCACGATATACATCACTCAGTGTATATACACTGCACGATATACATCACTCAGTGTATATACACTGCACGATATACATCACGCAGTGTATATACACTGCACGATATACATCACTCAGTGTATATACACTGCACGATATACATCACTCTGTGTATATACACTGCACGATATACATCACTCTGTGTATATACACTGCACGATATACATCACTCAGTGTATATACACTGCACGATATACATCACTCAGTGTATATACACTGCACGATATACATCACTCAGTGTATATACACTGCACGATATACATCACTCAGTGTATATACACTGCACGATATACATCACTCTGTGTATATACACTGCACGATATACATCACTCTGTGTATATATACACACAGCGGACCGTCATGTACACTCCAGATTTACAAGAATTATTTTTAAGATTATCTGTAAGAATTATTTACAGGATTTTAAATTATTACTATTATTGTTAGGATTATTATTATTATTATTATTATTATTATTATTATTATTATTATTATTATTATTATTATTATTACTATTATTATTATTATTATTATTATTATTATTATTATTATTATGATTGGTATTATTATTTTTATTATAATTATTGTAATTATTATAATTAATATTGTAATTATTATAATTAATATTGTAATTATTATAATTAATATTGTAATTATTATAATTAATATTGTAATTATTATAATTATTATTGTAATTATTATAATTACTATTGTAATTATTATAATTAATGTTGTAATTATTATAATTAATATTGTAATTATTATAATTAATATTGTAATTATTATAATTATTATTAGTAGTATAATTATTGTAATAATTATTATGCATAGCGTTGTATAATTGTGGAGGAAGCGCTAAACCCGTAGGGAGGGGGCATCCAGCGCCTTGGTTAATTGAGGCAACGAGGTTCGATCCGAGGCTCGGAGATCTGCTGCCCTGGATCAAGATCCCGGACACCAGGATGACGTCACTGACACAAAAAAATTCTCTCAAGATTTTATTTTTAATATTTACAAAATAAATAATTTTACATTTACTGCAGAGATGTATTATTATTATCACAGTTAATAACTCCGTCTTGCAGCAGTGAGGGCGTGGGCGTGCGGGCGGCGTGGGCGTGTGGGCGGCGTGGGCAGTGTTAGCGTCGTTGGTGTATGTGTTGGTGGGGGGGGTAAGGGTCATGTAGGGTGGTGGGGTGTGGGTGGTGTGGGCGTGAGTTAAGTGGGCGGCATGGTTGTGATGTGGGCGGCATGGGTGTGGTGTGGGCGGCATGGGTGTGGTGTGGGCGGCGTAACCAAGAGCGACTGATGAATCTGTGTAAGAAGAATAGAGTAAAATTTATTAACCAATAAATACCCATATATATATATATATATATATATATATATATATATATATATTATATATATATAATATATATATATATATATATATATATATATATATATATATATATATATATATATATATATATATATATATATTATTTAAATTTATATCTTGATTTTTTCAAAGTTTATTTCAATACATTTAAGTTTATTTTGGCCACAAATGCCTCGTCAGTGTTTAGCGCTTCAACATTTATGAAAAATAAAACAACGGAAAAGTTCTAATGAACGTGAGACACAAATATTTAACTTCCATAAAAAAATAAGTTTTTTTTTAATAAATTTTATGATTAAGTTTTATAAGTAAATACGTTTGATTATTAAGTTTAATAATTAAGTTTTATAATAAGGTTAAGTTTTATTTTGGTGTTTAATAAATACGTTTTATTATTCTATTTAAAAAAATTAAATCGCGATTAATAATTATCAGCCACACTGTAAGTCACACTATCAGCCACACTATTAGTCACTATCAGCCACAGTATTAGTCACTATCAGTCACTTACACTTAAGTATAGTCACTATCAGCCACTATATCCTATAGCCACTATTAGTCACTATCAGCCACAGTATTAGTCACTATCAGTCACAGTATTAGTCACTATCAGCCACAGTATTAGTCACTATCAGCCACAGTATTAGTCACTATCAGCCACACTATTAGTCACTATCAGCCACACTATTAGTCACTATCAGCCACACTATTAGTCACTATCAGCCACAGTATTAGTCACTATCAGCCACACTATTAGTCACTATCAGCCACACTATTAGTCACTATCAGCCACAGTATTAGTCACTATCAGCCACACTATTAGTCACTATCAGCCACACTATTAGTCACTATCAGCCACACTATTAGTCACTATCAGCCACACTATTAGTCACTATCAGCCACACTATTAGTCACTATCAGCCACACTATTAGTCACTATCAGCCACACTATTAGTCACTATCAGCCACACTATTAGTCACTATCAGCCACACTATTAGTCACTATCAGCCACACTATTAGTCACTATCAGCCACACTATTAGTCACTATCAGCCACACTATTAGTCACTATCAGCCACACTATTAGTCACTATCAGCCACACTATTAGTCACTATCAGCCACACTATTAGTCACACTATCAGTCACATGTTACGTGTGATAGGTGACTGATAATCTTATAAAGAATATGAAAGACATGATTGAATTAATTAGTGAGGGTGAGGAGAGGCTTGAAACCGACCTGTGTGAGGATGACTGTAGGCTGGACGGAGGTGTGGGAGGTGCAGCCTGACGGAGGTGTGGGAGGTGCAGCCTGACGGAGATAGCAGCCGGAGCTGCTGAGGCTACCTCAGGGACGCGCATCACAGTGCACTACCCGAGGAGGGGCACGAGGGGTCGCTGGAGAGGCAAGGAGGGCAGGTGGCCTCCCAGGGGCAGGAGGCCGCCGTAGGCCGGGTACAGAGGCCTCGTCAGTCGCTCCAGTTCGGCTTCCTTCAGGCGCTTGTCCTTGGCGCGGCGGTTCTGAAACCAGATCTTGACCTGCGTCTCCGTCAGGTTGAGCGAGGCGGAGAACTCTGCCCGCTCAGCGATGCTCAGGTACTGCTTCTCACGGTACTTCTTCTCCAGCGCCAGCAGTTGTTCCGAGGTGAAGGGCGTCCGTGGCTTCCTGTTGGGTTTGTGTTTCCGCAACACCACAGAGCTGGGCAGCTTAGGCAGGGTAGGACCACCTGCGGGACACCCACAACCTAGTTAATTCTTGAAATTCTAGCCTTCTTTCCTTTACCCTCTCTAAAAACTACAACAGCAAAAAATTCTAAATCTCCACCACTAAACATTTTCGTGTAGAATCTTAGTGAATTTTATTACTAAAATAAGAAAAAATTCTTTCTTCCGTCTCTAAATGTCTGAAACTACAGCTATAACCTAATGTTTCGGAGCAAAGTTCTCGCTGGATTTTGATCTGTTGGCTATAAAGACTAACATTGTTTTTCTCCCTCTGCCTTACAGCACGGGAATGTTCTCTAAACTGCTGGTAGAAATAAGTATTACTGAGACGGTGTAGGAAGAAAATAGGTGAGTGTTGGTACCTACCATGAGCGGAGGCGGCGAACTGGAAGTAAGGATGAGCAGGGAACCACTGTGAAGGAACCATTTGCTGGAGGGGACGCACTGCCGCCGCCGCCGCTGCTGCGGGACTCTGCGACCGCTCGGAGTCCTGACTGAGGAACGACACGTCGCTGGAGGCACTGCACGACGAGGCGGGACGACAGGAGGCGTCGCTGGAAGCACTGCACGATGAGGCGGGACGACAATCTAGCTCCGGGGACGTTGTGGAGGAACTGACAGGGGTGTGGCGACGCCCCAGGATGGAGTCTATACTAAAGGACAACCTGGGCTTGTGCTCCGACACAGGCGACGGCTTCTCCATGTTGGCCAATGAGAAAGAGAGAGAGAGAGTGAGACACACAGCAGCAGTCCCCACAACACCAGGGTAATGAGAAATCTAGCGAGCCGTTATGAAGCTTGGTATTTATAGGATGGAGGCGGCGGAGGCGGCGCTACCGTGATCAAGGGAGGAGTCTCTCTCAAGACCAATCACACAGCATCTCCCTCGCTACCATCATGGCGATTACCAACTCTTCCATCACATTCATTATCCCTCAACAACTCACTTCGTCTCATCGTACATTAACAGCACACTCGCAGACAGACCCACAGAGCAGTGACTACCAACACATAAATGCAAGAATAGTGGATATATTTGGAGTAAACACGAAATAACAGAGAAACGTTGCAGTGGCAGCAAGAGTCATCCATCGCACAGCCAAGTCAGACTCCGCCTCCTCCGCCCTCTGTAAACAGCAGAGGGCGGCTCATTCGCCTGCTTTCGCCAGCAGCAGCCTCATCGCCGCCGCAGCCGCCGCCGCCGCCGCCGCCAAGTACCGTAAAATAAACATGTTGATTTATTACGTTTCATATTTTAGCGCAAAGTACGGGAGTTTAGGAGAGGTGAAACTTGTGGCAGTGGCGAGGTAAGACGCTTCTCTGATATACTGGAGGTATTAGCATAGTGGAGGACTACCACCCCCGCCGCCACCGCTAGTTCAAGAGGACCACTGCCACTCCTTCAAGAGGACTACTGCCACTCCTTCCAGAGGACCACTGCTACTCCTTCAAGAGAACCACTGCCACTCATTCAAGAGGGCCACTACCACTCCTTCAAGAGGACCACTGCCACTCCTTCAAGAGGACCATTGCCACTCCTTCAAGAGGACCATTGCCACTCCTTCAAGAGGACCACTGCCACTCCTTCAAGAGGACCACTGCCACTCCTCCAAGAATACCATTACCACTCCTTCAAGAGGACCATTGCCACTCCTTCCAGAGGACCACTGCCACTCCTTCAAGAGGACCACTACCACTCCTTCAAGAGGACCACTGCCACTCCTTCAAGAGGACCATTGCCACTCCTTCCAGAGGACCACTGCTACTCCTTCAAGAGGACCACTGCCATTCCTTCAAGAGGACCATTGCCACTCTTTCCAGAGGACCACTGCTACTCCTTCAAGAGAACCACTGCCACTCCTTCAAGAGGACCACTACCACTCCTTCAAGAGGACCACTGCCACTCCTTCAAGAGGGCCACTGCCATTCCTTCAAGAGGACCAATGCCACTCCTTCCAGAGGACCACTGCTACTCCTTCAAGAGAACCACTGCCACTCCTTCAAGAGGATCACTGCCACTGCTTCAAGAGGACCACTGCCACTCCTTCCAGTGGAGCACTGCCACTCATTCAAGAGGACCACTGCCACTCCTTCCAGAGGATCACTGCTTCTCCTTCAAGAGGACCACTGCCACTGCTTCAAGAGGACCACTGCCACTCCTTCCAGTGGACCACTGCCACTCATTCAAGAGACACTGCCACTCTTCAGAGGATCATGCTTCCTACAAGAGGACCACTGCCACTTCTTCCAGTGGAGCACTGCCACTCATTCAAGAGGACCACTGCCACTTCTTCAAGAGGATCACTGCCACTCCTTCAAGAGGACCACAGCCACTCCTTCAAGAGGACCACTGCCACTCCTTCAAGAGGATCACTGCCACTCCTTCAAGAGGACCACAGCCACTCCTTCAAGAGGACCACTGCCACTCATTCAAGAGGACCACTGCCACTCCTTCAAGAGGACCACAGCCACTCCTTCAAGAGGACCACTGCCACTCCTTCAAGAGGATCACTGCCACTCCTTCAAGAGGACCACAGCCACTCCTTCAAGAGGACCACTGCCACTCCTTCAAGAGGACCACTGCTACTCCTTCAAGAGGATCACTGCCACTCCTTCAAGAGGACCACTGCTACTCCTTCAAAAGGACCACTGCCACTTCTTCAAGAGGATCACTGCCACTCCTTCAAGAGGACCACTGCTACTCCTTCAAGAGGATCACTGCCACTTCTTCAAGAGGACCACTGCTACTCCTTCAAGAGGATCACTGCCACTCCTTCAAGAGGACCACTGCTACTCCTTCAAGAGGATCACTGCCACTTCTTCAAGAGGACCACTGCTACTCCTTCAAGAGGATCACTGCCACTCCTTCAAGAGGACCACTGCTACTCCTTCAAGAGGATCACTGCCACTCCTTCAAGAGGACCACTGCTACTCCTTCAAGAGGATCACTGCCACCTCTTCAAGAGGACCACAGCCACTCCTTCAAGAGGACCACTGCCACTCCTTCAAGAGAGCCACTGCCATTCCTTCAAGAGGACCACTACCACTCCTTCAAGAGGACCATTGCCACTCCTTCCAGAGGACCACTGCCATTCCTTCAAGAGGACCACTACCACTCCTTCAAGAGGACCACTGCCACTCAATAGGACCACTGCCACTCCATCAAGAGGACCATTGCAAATCCTTCAAGAGGACCACTGCCATCCTTCCAGAGGACCACTGCCACTCCTTCAAGAGGACCACTGCCACTCCTTCAAGAGGACCACTGCAACTCCTTCAAGAGGACCACTGCCACTCCTTCAATAGCACCACTGCCACTCCTTCAATAGCACCTCTGCCACTCCTTCAATAGCACCTCTGCCACTCCTTCAAGAGCACCTCTGCCACTCCTTCAAGAGCACCTCTGCCACTCCTTCAATAGCAACCTCTGTCACTCTTCATAGCACCTCTTGCGCCACTTCCTTCAATGCACCTATGCCACTCCTTCAATAGCACCTCTGCCACTCCTTCAATAGCACCTCTGCCACTCCTTCAATAGCACCTCTGCCACTCCTTCAATAGCACCTCTGCCACTCCTTCAATAGCACCTCTGCCACTCCTTCAATAGCACCTCTGCCACTACTTCAATAGACTCTCGCCACACTCCTTCAATAGCACCTCTGCCACTCCTTCCAATAGAACCTCTGCTACGCCTCTAGAGCACATCTGCCACTCTTTCAATAGCACCTCTGCCATACTTCAAGGAGCACACTTGCCGCTCTTTCCAATAGCACCACTGCCGCTCCTTCAAATTTAAGCACCTCTGCCTATCCTTCAATAGCCCTCTGCCACTCCATTCTATAGCAACTCTGCTGTCCTTCAATTGACCACTGCCACTCCTTCAATAGCACATCTGCCGCTCCTTCATAGCCACCTCTGCAACTCCTTCAATAGCACCTCTGCTACTCACTTCAACGAGCACTCTGCACTCTTTCAATTGCACTTGCCCACATCATTACTATAGCACCTCTGCCGTCCTTCATAGCACTCCTCTGCACTACTCATCATAGCCACCTCTGCTACTCCTTCACTAGCACCTCTGCTACTCCTTGTAGAGGCACCTATGACACCCTTAAAATAGCACCACAGTAGCGCTCTTTCATTAGCAAACACTGCGCATCTTCATAGCCCCACTGACTCCGCACTAATGCACCTATGCCACTTTTCCCATTCATTAGCACCTATGACACTTCTTCAATAGAACCTCTGCCGCTCTTCAATTTAGCACCTCTGCCTTCTTCAATAGCACACTCTGCACTCCTTCAATACGCACTCTGCAACTCCTTCAATAGCACCTTCGGCAGCTCTTCAATAGCACCACTGCCACTCCTATTAGCTCCTCTGTCCACATCCCTTCAAAAGCACTCTGCCACTCATTCAATTGCACTCTGACTCGCTCATTCTATTTGCACCTCTGCCGCTCTTCAAATAGCCAACTCTGCACTCCGTAATTAGCACCTCTGCCGATCCTTAAGAGCACCTCTGCCGCTCCTTCAATAGAACCCTCTGCCGCTCTTCAATAGGCACCTACTGCCGCTCCTTCAAGAGCACTTCTGACGCTCCTTCTATAGCACCTCTGCCGCTCTTACAGAGCACCTCTATTGACAGCTCCCATTCAAGAGCACCTCTGCCGCTCCTTCAAATAGCACCTCTAGGCCACTCCATCAAAATAGGCACCTCTGCTGCTCCTTCAATAGCTCCCACTGCCAGACTCCTACATTAGCACCTCTGACACTCCATCAAAGCACCTCTGCCACTACTTCCAATAGACCTCTTGCCTCCTTCAATAGCACTTCTGCCCACTCCTTCAATATCCACCTCTGCCGCTCCTTCAATAGACCTTGCCACTCCTTCAAGAGCACTCTGCCAATCCTCAAGAGCACCTCTGACACTCCAATCGAGAGCATCTGCTTGCCACTTCATCAAGTGCACCTCTGCCACTCCATCAGAGCACCTCTGCCACTCCATCAAGAGCACCCTCTGCCACTCCATCATGAGCACCTTGCCATCTCCATCAAGAGCACCTCTGCCAATCCATCAAGTGCATCTCTGCCCACTCCATCTAGAGACCCTCTTGCTCTCCATCAAGAGTATTCTGACACTCCATCAAGAGCATCTCGGCCACTCAGCAAGTGCACCTCTGCACTCATCAAGAGAACCTCTGACCTCACTCCATCAAGAGCATCTCTGCCTCTCCATCACAGAGTCTTCTGCCACTCCATCAAGATGCAAACTCTGCCACTCCATCAAGAGCAACCTTGCCACTCCATCAAGAGCCATCTCTGCCCTCCTTCAAGTGCACATCTGCCTCCATCAAGAGCACCTCTGCCACTCATCAGCAGCCACCTACTGCCACTACATCAAGAGAACCTCTGCATCACATCCAAGAGCACCTCTGCCACAACCATCAAGAGCAACAATTATGCACTCCATCATGAGCACTCTGCCACTCTATTCAAGAGCACCTCTGCCACACCCTCAAGAGCATCGCTGCCACGCCTCCAATGGAGCCTCTTGCACTCCATCAAGAGCACCATATGACACACCATCAAGAGCAACTCTGCCACTCCATCAATGAGCACCTCTGCCACTCCATCAAGAGCACCTCTGCCACACCATCAAGAGCACCTCTGCCACACCATCAAGAGCACATCTGCCACTCCATCAAGAGCACCTCTGCCACTCTATCAAGAGCACCTCTGCCACACCATCAAGAGCACCTCTGCCACTCCATCAAGAGCACATCTGCCACTCCATCAAGAGCACCTCTGCCACTCCATCAAGAGCACCTCTGCCACACCATCAAGAGCACCTCTGCCACTCCATCAAGAGCACCTCTGCCACACCATCAAGAGCACCTCTGCCACTCCATCAAGAGCACCTCTGCCACAAACCCTCAAGAGCACCTCTTTCCACACCATCAAGAGCACCTCTGCCACTCCATCAAGAGCACCTCTGCCACACCATCAAGAGCACCTCTGCCACTCCATCAAGAGCACATCTGCCACTCCATCAAGAGCACCTCTGCCACACCATCAAGAGCACCTCTGCCACTCCATCAAGAGCACATCTGCCACTCCATCAAGAGCACCTCTGCCACACCATCAAGAGCACCTCTGCCACTCCATCAAGAGCACCTTTGCCACACCATCAAGAGCACCTCTGCCATTTCCCTCAAAGCACATCTGCCCTCCATCAAGAGCAAACCTCTGCCACTCCATCAAGAGCCCCTCTCCACTCCATCAAGAGCACCTCTTTCCACACCATCAAGAGCACCTCTGCCACTCCATCAAGAGCACATCTGCCACTCCATCAAGAGCACCTCTGCCACTCCATCAAGAGCACCTCTGTCACACCATCAAGAGCACCTCTGCCACTCCATCAAGAGCACCTCTGCCACACCATCAAGAGCACCTCGCCACTC